AGTCCCAACCAGAAGGCCACAAGTGTAGCCAGCTATAACTCCTCCCCCGGACCTGAGGGCCACAAGTGTAGCGAGCTGTAAGTCTTCCCCTGACTTGAAGTTACTACTCCTCCTGGTTGAGGTTTCCAACTATAACACCCGCCCCTGAGGGCCCCGGCTGTCACCCCGAGGGCCCCGGCTGTCACCCCTCCCCCTGAGGGCCCCGGCTGTCACCCCTCCCCCTGAGGGCCCCGGCTGTCACCCCTCCCCCTGAGGGCCCCGGCTGTCACCCCTCCCCCTGAGGGCCCCGGCTGTCACCCCTCCCCCTGAGGGCCCCGGCTGTCACCCCTCCCCCTGAGGGCCCCGGCTGTCACGCTCCCGAGGACCCCGGCTGTCACCCCGCCCTTAAGGGGCCCGGCTGTCACCCCGTCCCCCGAGGGCCCAGGGCTGTCACCCCTCTCCCATGGTCCTTTCATCGTGTTATGTAGACAGAACTGTGAGCCCAGGTTGGGAGCAGCCAGAGAGGTATGAGGCAGGCCGAGGTCACAGCAAGTAATCAGCGGAAGGTCAGAGGTCAGGCCGTGTCCCACGGGCGAGGTCAGAGGTCAGGCCGTGTCCTACAGGTCACGTGTAATCAGGAACCAGCTGAAGACACGGGAAATCTCTCTCTGCAGATTTGGCGCCAATGCCGAGTGCACGCATGATCTCCAATTCCTCTTCTAGAGTGACCCCGCCCCCCTTCTGGAGTGACCACGCCCCCATCCCAGATATAGTTTCACATTGTCGCAGTAGGCGGGACTTATGAAGTCGGGGAACAAAGGGAAACTGAATCAGAGTGGCACACGGGAGACTTTTATGGCCAATGTAATAGATTCACGTGGCAGCGTCCTCCGAGCAGAACCTGGAGGACTCAATATGAGGTCAGAGCAGCGCGACCTCTCACCTCCATCTCTCAGGGCCTGGTACAATGGTGGGCCTGACTGAGACCTCAGGACCCCTCCATGAGCTTGTGCTGTTCCCACATTAGGACAATCTTCACACCTCTGTAATAGTCTCAGGTTTAGTCCCTTTATGATCCTCAGACCTCCGACATTCCCACCTTACATGGCTCTATGATCCTCAGACCTCCGACATTCCCACCTTACATGGCTCTATGATCCTCAGACCTCCGACATTCCCACCTTACATGGCTCTATGATCCTCAGACCTCCGACATTCCCACCTTACATGGCTCACCACGTTGGGTCCTCAGAGACCTCAGTGATAGTCCCACGTTGGGTCCTTGTCTGGTCTTCGTATAAGATGTCTCTTCTGGCTGCTGCTCTTTCGCTGAGTTTGTTGTTTCTCTTCCTAGTGTGATATTTGCTCTTCACCATGCCGGCTCTCTTGGAAAGACCCAAGCTGACTAACACCATGGCCCGAGCCCTCCACCGCCATGTCATGATGGAGCGGGAACGCAAGCGACAAGGTGAGCCTCCCTATTGGTGGGGGAGGGGGGAGGAGACTCCAGGTGAGCTCCATCTCATCTTCTGTCTTCCACAGAGGAGGAGGAGGTGGATAAGATGATGGAGCAGAAGATGCGAGATGAACAAGAGAGGAGGAGGAAGAAGGAAATGGAGGAGAGGATGTCCCTGGAAGAGACCCGGGAACAGGTACAAGAAAAGATTGTTCTATTGTCCTACACAAAGGACCGCCTGACCCGTGGCGGGCTCACCAATAACGATGGTGGTATCTAACCAGACCTTCCACGGCTCCCACACTGGTACTTCTTATAAAGGACGGCCAAACCCAGTTCCAGAAAGAGGTTTAGCATGAAGGGAGGTGATTTGGTGCTGGAGGCGTGTCTGAGAAGTGGTCCTGGAGGCGTGTCTGAGAAGTGGTCCTGGAGGCGTGGCTGAGAAGTGGTCCTGGGGGCGTGGTTGTGAAGTGGTCCTGGGGGCGTGGTTGTGAAGTGGTCCTGGGGGCATGGCTGAGAAGTGGTCCTGAAGGTGTGGCTGAGAAGTGGTCCTGAAGGTGTGGCTGAGAAGTGGTCCTGGAGGCGTGGCTGAGAAGTGGTCCTGGGGGCGTGGCTGAGAAGTGGTCCTGGGGGCGTGGCTGAGAAGTGGTCCTGGGGGCGTGGCTGTGAAGTGGCCCTGGAGGCGTGGCTGTGAAGTGGTCCTGGAGGCGTGGCTGAGAAGTGGTCCTGGTGGCGTGGCTGTGAAGTGGTCCTGGGGGCGTGGCTGAGAAGTGGTCCTGGGGGCGTGGCTGTGAAGTGGTCCTGGAGGCGTGGCTGTGAAGTGGTCCTGGGGGCATGGCGGAGGCGTGCCTGAGAAGTGGTCTTGGTGGCGTGGCTGTGAAGTGGTCCTGGGGCGTGGCTGTGAAGTGGTCCTGGGGCGTGGCTGTGAAGTGGTCCTGGGGGCGTGGCTGAGAAGTGGTCCTGGGGGCGTGGCTGAGACTTGGTCCTGTGGGAGTGGCTGAGGCGTGGTCCTGGAGGCGTGGCTGAGACTTGGTCCTGTGGGAGTGGCTGAGACTTGGTCCTGTGGGAGTGGCTGAGGCGTGGTCCTGGAGGCGTGGCTGAGACTTGGTCCTGTGGGAGTGGCTGCACCTCCCTCACATCCTCTCCGCTCTCTCTAGATTATGAAGCTCCAGGAGAAGCTGAACAAGTTGCAGGAGGAAAAACATCAACTTTTCCTGCAGCTGAAGAAAGTTCTCCATGAAGAGGAAAAGAGGAGAAGGAAGGAGCAAAGGTGAGGCTGGACGGGGCCACATGTGGTAGATGAGGCTGGACGGGGCCACATGTGGTAGATGAGGCTGGTTGGGGGCCACATTTGGTAGATGAGGCTGGTTGGGGGCCCACATTTGGTGGATGAGGCTGGTTGGGGGCCCACATTTGGTAGATAAGGCTGGTTGAGGGCCCACATTTGGTAGATGAGGCTGGTTGGGGGCCCACATTTGGTAGATGAGGCTGGTTGAGGGCCCACATTTGGTAGATGAGGCTGGTTGGGGGCCACATTTGGTGGATGAGGCTGGTTGGGGGCCCACATTTGGTAGATGAGGCTGGTTGAGGGCCCACATTTGGTAGATGAGGCTGGTTGGGGGCCACATTTGGTGGATGAGGCTGGTTGGGGGCCCACATTTGGTAGATGAGGCTGGTTGGGGGCCCACATTTGGT